CACAAAGAATTAGGTCTAAACAACTACGCTTTTATCAATATTATGATTAAATCATTGTCAATTTAATAATAAACTCAACAGAGATCTACAAAGAACCCATCACAAGTATGGTACTGTGTTACAGATTACATAGGGACAAAGATAAATGAGAATAGGATGTAGGCTTTGTACATTCATGGCATGCTCATATAATTTATATATGAGAAAGCAACATCTCTACAGTGTATGTAACAATGCGATAGCATACTGTGTATACTAACAAAAATAAAAAACTTTTGTTAAGGTGCTAGCATATCCATCAGGTCTATGGCAAACCTATGATGCTGTTAAGAAAACTTAATATAATGTTCATAACTATTATCACTGACTTATAAACTTTATCTATAAATCAGCCAGTATCTGTAGTTGTTAAGTGCCGTTAAGTTGCTTGCAACTCGGTGACAATGAACACAACAGCTCTGAACTCTGCTCTATCCTATGCCAACCATATTGTCTCTGACACACCTACTCCCATTACCCAGTCATTGAATCAATGCATCTCAATGAGGGTCTTCCTCTATTGCACTGTCCTTCTACTCTTCCAAGCATCATGTCCCTCTCCTAGGACTAATACCTCCTTGCCACATGTCCAAAGTATTTCAGAAAAGGCTTCAGAATCATTGCCTCCAAAGAGCAGCCTGTTTCCAACCTCTTCAGGATAAACCTGTTTGTTTCCTGGCAGTATATGGTATATACTCCAGTATGACAACTCAAAGGCATCAATTCTCCTTCTATCATCCCTAGTCATTGGCCAGCTTTCTGTTACACAGCAAGTAATTGCAAATACTATAGCATGGATTGGGTGCACTTAGTCTCCAGACTGACATGCTTGCTCTTCAGTACCCTGGAGAAGTCCCTGACAGCAGACTTTCCTAATGCAATTTGTCTTCTGATTTCCTGGCTGCTGGTACAAAAAGTGTTGTTTGTAGAGCCAAGCAAACCAAAACCGTTAACAATTTCAATCTCTTCACCATCTATCATGATGTTGCCAGTAGGCCCAGTGGGGAGAATTTTTGTCTTCCTGATGTTGAAACACAATCTATATTGAAGGATGCAGTCCTTGACCTTCTGCAGCAAGTTCTTCAGGTCTTTCTCAGTTTCAGCAAGCAGGGTTGTGTCATCTACATAACAGATTGTTGACGAGTCTTCCTCCAATCCTGATGCCACATTTCTCCTCATACAGCCCAGCCTCCTGGATAATCTATTCTGCATATAGATTGAAAAGGTATGGAGATAGGACACTTCCCTGGCATACACCTTTCCCAATTTTGAACCATGCACTGTTTCCTTGCTCTGTTCTGATGATTGCCTCCTGGTCCAAGTATAGGTTTCACATAACAACAACCAAGTATTCAGGGATTCTTTTCAGAGTTAGCCACAGTTTTTTCGTGATCCACACTGTCAAATGCCTTTGCATAGTCAATGAAACAAAGAAATTCCTCTGGTGTTCACTGCTCAAGTTCTAAATTATTCCCACTGTGCTTCAAATGCCTATTACTTAAAACAGAGATCCAAGTAAG